GGCGTCGACAGCAGGGGAAAGCTGGAGGTTGGGATTTTGGGCGGGGGCGGGGTATAAGAGGGGTCGACTGAAGGAGGGTGGCGATGCCGGCGCAGCTGGTGGGTGCCTGGGGGGCGGGCGCAGGGTTGTGTGGGTTGCGGGACGCGCCGCGATGCACGTGTGTTCTTGCCAAGCAGCAGGCCCCACCAAGCACCAGCGGGCGCCGCCGCGTCCGGCCGTGTCGCTCCAGCACCGGCGGGCGTCGCTCCAATCGCCGCCGGTGCTTGGAGGGGTCGCTCCAGCACCGGCAGGCGCTGCCGCCCCCACGATCTGGCCGCGTCGCTCTAAGCGTTCCAAGGCGCCGCCCCCACAATCCACATTGGCCCAGTCACGATTGCCAACGCCCAGCAGCTAAATTCGTCGCCCACCCTTCTCCTCCATATCCATCGCCTGGATCTTCCGCCGGTTGAGAATCTTGATTGCCACCTTGTGACCCGTAAGGATGTGCTCAGCCACCTTGACCTGATTATGATGGTATGTGAATGAGGTTGCATGGACCGCTTCGATTGGGGTCGGCCAACTGGCATCCGCGCCAAAACGCAGCGGCCCGGCGCTTTTCAAGCTTCAGTCCACGCCCTTGAGTCACGCCATTCAGCGCGGTCCCCTGCCGTAAGCCTGCCGCACGCCTGCCAGCAGCACAGCCCCTGCAGCAGGTCCGCCTATGGGCGCCTCTTCCCCTCCGCACCTTGCCAAAAGATCCGATCCCCAGCGTTTTACCGAGCCGGTAGTTTGCCAGGAAGAACTCGGCGGACTGGTTGACGCCGTGCACGGCTGGCGCCGCGCAGCCGCCCACCGCTGCGTGCTGCATTGGCTGCGGCGCGTATGCGCCTCCAGCGGCTGACGAAGGATGCGGCGGAACACTGGTCATCACTCCTAGGGGCTAGTCGAGCGCGCTGAGCGCCTCAGCTGCGCGGTCTCCACGGCATCAGGATTGGTTTTGTACAGCGGCCAGCAAGAGGCCCGTTCACAATGTTACGGAGATATCAGGTATTTTATACCTGTTATGGCAGTTCAGAAGGGCCGAATGGCTGTTGCATTTTGCGTGATGATGTGGACAGATCACTTGGTGAGGCTTAATTTCTAGAAACAATCGAAAAAAACCGCAATCAGCACGATCAACACTTCTGCCAGTTCCGAACAGGCTCTCTCTCTCTCTCTCTCTGTGTACGCACGAAACCGACGTGGCACCACACTCATCCACGCTGGACATCATTCTCCCCTGATGAAATCGCATATAATTGCATAACCAATGCAAATATAGCTCTCTATTGTTGTAGATCTATCAATTGACCAACAAGTAGGTCCTGCTGGGGCCGATCCTGAAGGTGCAAACAGACCCGCAGCGGCCGGCGCGAGCGGCACGCACCGGCGTGGTAATAAGGTTGCAGCGACCACAGAATTAGGATGCGCACTGACCATCCTTGTACAGTTGCAAGCTGAGAGCAGGACATAGGCTGCAGCCTGTCACCTCGCCGCATCACTTGACCAACGCAAAACATCGATGACAGCGGCGCCTCGCCGCCGTACGGCCTACGCGGGCTCTGTCTTCGCATGCTTGGGTCATGAGCGCGGAGCATAAGCTCGCACGGGGTGTGAGCCCTGCCAGCGCCACAGGGCGACTGTGAGAGTGTGCGACGAGAACGGGGCTGGCAGGCGTACAACGAGGAAGATCTTTGTCTGATGCCCCAATCGATTGGTCAATCAGTGGTGGCGTCACATGTGATGGACCCGCAACGGCCGGGCCAAGCCGACGGCACGTCGCAGCCAACCAAACCACCCATGATCCCGTCAACGCGCTGCGGGCTCCTCCTGGGAAACCTACCAGGGTGAAAGCGGCTACACCAACGCGATCATACAATGTAACAAGCGGATGGGGACCGCGGACGCGTGCCTGCTTCGTGGAAGGTGGTAACTAGCTCACCGCACTCACTCGGAGCAGCTCGCAGGCGGCTAGTCGCGATGTCGTAGCCTAGAGAAAGAGAAATACCCCTCATGCGTGGTTAAAACAATTATATCTGCATACATTACGTCCACACCGTAAGGAAGCCATGGCCCGCTACGTGTTCGCTCTCGCCGCGATGGCACTGGTCGCTTTGGCCGCAGGTGGGCTACCCGGGCTCTTCGAAGCACATTTAGTGTGGGCAGTCGACTTTGTTGCAGACAGCCTTCAAGCGCCTCCAGCTCGCTGCCGCTGGGCCCCGCCGCCTCGCGCCTGGCTGGTGACCAAAACAAAATGCACCCGCGGTGCCTCCGCTCTGCAGGGGCCATGGCTCAGGAGCCAGGCGTCAAGCAAGAGCCCGAGTTTACGTGAGTGCAGGCGTCAGCGGGGGGAGCTCATGGGTGGCGAAGCCCGCGCAGCCGGCGCGGGGTCCTCGCGTAGCACGCACTCACCAGGCGGCAGCACCACCCACGATGGTTGTGCCCGAGCAGCAACGCGGCGCGAGCGCCTTGCAGCTGAGCGTTATGCAATAAGTTTAGGAATTGCCTCGTATCGCGATCCGCCATTGGCCGTGACGCTATCCCTGCTCGTGCTCCGTGTTGGCAAAACTGCCATCTGTCGAAGTTGGCACCGGGCGGCATGCCACCGCCTGGCCCCCCCACCCTGCCTGGGCACCCACCCACCTCACCCTGATATGCATCATAAACATCCCACACACTCTGAATTTGAATGATTTTAATCCCAAGGTACCTGTACTCTACTGATCTGTCCAAGAAGCAGTTTGTTGACGTCATGCGCTCTGTCGACACAACCGCGTGGGACAATGGCTTCAAATCCAAGGGCATGCACAAGGTGTGGCGCCGCGGCTGCATGCTGTGTTGCTTGTTGGTGCAAATGCCCACATGAAATCAGCACCCGCTTGGGCAGTACGGCCGCCGTTATCCTTATGCATTTGGCCAGTTTCCTCAGCCCTGCTGAAAACTGGGCCCCCACCCGAGCCGCCCCATGACATCACCCCATTTCCGACGCCGCGACCCGCAGTGCGCCCGCTACTGCCGCCGCGATGGCGGCGGCGGCGTCTGCGCCGCCTGGACTTTCTGCTGGGGCGAGCGCCGCTGCCACCTGCTGTCGCGCCTGCCCGCCTCGCTCGAGGCGGCGCAGCCCGGGGCCCTCAGCTCGCTGATGGGTGGCAACACGTACAACGCCCAGTGCAGCAGCGGCTACTCAAAGGGTGGGTGTCTCGTCCTACCTTGCTTTCCCAGCTGTTGAAGCGCGGCAGCGACCGCGTCTGTGGCACCACTGAGGACGAGTGCTGACAGCTGCCGGCTTTGGGCGACCACCCAGTGCATGCGGCCGGCCGCCCCAGCAGCAGAGATGCCAAGACCAGCGAGCGTGCACGGCCCCCGCTCATGCAACAC